CCGAAACGGTGGCCGGCCGTCAGTGACTGTCACCTGTCGTGCTTGTCTTTGAACACCCAAGCGGCGTGCCAGCGAGCGGAGTCACTTCAGAGTCTTTGTCCCTTGGGAGTGTCCCGACCTCGGGTTAAATATGGCGCTAAAGGCTGCGCTGATTTGCCTGTGGGGTAGGATCAGGGGTTACTTCGCTCTGTAACGGACCTCGTGATACGTAAATTATCTATGAATCCTGCGATTTATAGCAGGAAGAACTTCATCAGTAGTATTATCAGGCATTTTGTTCTGTCGATACTGAAGTCATTTATGTATTCCGTTCATACTTTTTCTATTAACCGTATCTTCTACAGTAAGTGCTTAACTTACGCTCTGCACTTCCATGTATCCACCTCAAATTGCACAATTTTCAGAATGACGGTCTGAATACTGACAGTTTCGGTCGTGACAGGGTCGTTGCTGACAGCACTGCCACGCCATCTGCCACGCTGCTGCCAGCCCGGCCCTCCCAGGCGACTTTGCCTGCCCTCAGGTTGCCATCTGGACCCTCAGGTTTCCATCCCGGCCCTCACTGGTGTCTTTGCTTGCCCTCAGGTTGCCATCCCAACCCTCAGGTTGCCATCCCGACCCTCAGGTTGCCATCCTGACCCTCACTGGTGTCTTTGCTTGCCCTCAGGTTGCCATCCTGACCTTCAGGTTTCCATCCTTACCCTCACTGGTGTCTTTGCTTGCCCTCAGGTTTCCATGCCAGCCCTCACTGGTGTCTCAGACCCCAGTTGGAAGCTCTGTGGACCAGAGGGCTTGGCCAGGTGTCTCACAGGTGGGCTGCTGAGCACTAACCCAACAGGCATCTCGGAGTCCCAGGCAAGCATCTGGCAGAGCCAAATGACTAGTACAGGACCAACAGTCCCACTACTTTTTGCCATATTCCTGGACTTCTCTGTCGTTTGCTTGATGGTTAGATGAGCACCTAAAATTAGTCAATCTGCTTACAGTATTTTGAAAAATCACACAGTTTTCTTCTTCCTCAGGAGTAGAATTGTTCTTGACTGGCTGATGCAGCAGTACTAGAGGCCTCCCTTTCCCTTGACAAAGAGCTAGCAAACAGCAGGCTTGAGTGACAAGACTCCTCACTGGAGTGAAAGAGAAGTGCAGGTGATCTCTCTAAATGCATATGGTTTGGCAGGAGTTCCTTCAGAACCCCTGCAGTTTTATAGCATGAGGAGACAACTGCCTTTGACCTTTTTATATTCCTCCT